CCGAAATAAACCGTATTTAATTTTGTCTTAAAGGGGACCTATCATGCAAAATGCACTTTTGTACGTCTTTTATACATGAATATGTGTCCCCGGTGTGTCAGGGAACTCACCAAGTGTCAGAAAACACAACCCTCTCTCTTTTCCTCCATACCCAAATCTCTAAAAACAGGGCTGCAACGGATCTGATTCAGACTGAGACAGATTTTAAAATTCTCTGACGTCAGGAACGAGGAGCTCCGCCTATATGGGCAACTCTCCACCTATCAGGAGGAGACAGCCACGGCCATTGCCGTTCGAAAGCGCTGGAGACGCTGTAGTACATATGCCAGGCCTGTAGGTGTCGCTGTAGTCTGCCACAAACGCAGCGAAGAAGACTTCTCACAGATTCAGCCCTTGCAAAAACAGGGCTAAAAAAGAGCAAATAGAGCGAAATGAGGCATGGCTAAAATGCATGATCAGGTATTTTGAAAAAAAAACTTCACAGACATATATGTCACGATCTGTCTGTGTTGTGTTTTGTCTTTTTCTGTCTTTGGTTTCATGTTTTATTTTGAAGAGTCTTCACCCCCTGTCTTGCCTGTTGCTTTCTGTCTGTTTTCCCTCCTACCTAATTACCCGATTGTGTTCACCTGGTGCCCCTGTGTTTTCTCCACCCTCCTCACCTGTGTCTTGTTTGTGTGATTAGTCTTGTGTGTATTTAAGTTCTGGTTTTTCTGTCTGTTGGTTCCTTGTTTGTCTTTGACTGTGTCACGGGGTAGTGTTCTGTTTTTGACGCTTTGGCCTTGGAATAAAGGTATTTTTCGTTGAAATCTGCATTTGGGTCCTGCCTGCTTCACTCAACCCTGACAATATAGGTATGGCCCTACAATATATTATTTAAATATAGCGTGATAGGTCCACTTTAATTTACATTATTTAATTTCATATTCTGTTCTTGTACATATCCCATATTCTATTGACATTTGTGCTACTTTTTATTTTGTATTTTTGTATTTTATTATATATGTTGCATTGTTGGAGAAGCTCAGGTCGGAAGAATTTCATTGCCATTCCTACACTGTAGCTTTGTGCATGTATGACAATAAAACCTTTGAATCTTTGAATTTGCAATTAAGCATTAATATGTAGTACGTATGATAATGATGCCTTCACTGATCGATGTTTTTTATGAAACCAGCTTGCAAGCTAAGGGAACTCTAAAAATAATTGTAGTTTCGCTCTAAGAAAGCATCAGGTGTTTCAGCAACTTGCTGTTTCACTAAAGATTCCTGATGTTATGAGAGGATGATACTACGGGGGGAAAGTAGTCAACAAACCCCAGAAGATTATGAAACAGAGTTATGACATGTTGGACCGGCCTATTGCTGTAAAGGTCCAGGGACCAGTCACACTGGTGCAATTTCTTGAGTGAGGATGTGAAGCAAATGATTAGTAGGTAAGAGCAACCGGATATAACCTCAAACGTCACCGCCCAAATCCAATAGACACGCCCACCACCTATAGTGACTAAAAAATGTGACTTAACAAACACAGAAAAATACTTTACATGTGGCTCCTACAATTAGCTTTGTCACTCTTTTTCTATGGTCTCCTCTGAAGATGCTATTGATTTTAAGGTTTATTTTTTGAGCAACCTCAAAACAGACAGTCTTTGTCTATTCTTTAAGCACTTTACTGGTAATGCATCTGCGTATGAGCTCAGTTTTATCCCTGGTTTGTGTAAACATTGCTTCTTCATCGCTTCAGAATGTTTGAAAATGTTGTGTTTCCTTGTATTTCCATTCCCATGTGCTTAATTCCTTAAAATCTTTATTCACCACAGACAGTACATATGAAAAGATTCTATTTGTAATGTTTGTTCCCAACGGTATCCATCTACGAGGTATTAAACCATGCAAAGCAGTTCACTGAGCTGTATGCAACCCTCCCGGAAGAAGTGTCCTCTGAGTGACTTCTTGAGGAGGAAATGAAACTCAAACAATAACACTCCAAATGAATTTGTGCGGGACTATTTATAGCTTGCTTGTGAAATATGAGTTAAATAAATCAGCTTTGTCTTTTGGAGGACATCACAGCATGCAGCTTCTGCCCTGTCAGAGAGATGCTGCTCATCGCGCCGTTATATTTAGTGTGGCGAGTAATGCTGAGTGGCATTCTGTGATGATACAGGGGCTAAAAATGGCAGAGTGTCATGGATCACATGAATCCTGCCTCATTCTGTGAAACCAAGGTGAAATAATAACTCATCACAGTGAATAACTCTGTATTTATCAATGAACACGTGAATAAAACGTGTAGGACAGCATAAAGAGTGAATATGCGGATGAATAGACCAATGTTAGGTCAGTGTAAAGTGTTACAGGACTATTCAAATGGAGAGGAGATACAAACACGCTGTCTGAATTGTAGCTATCAATAGGAACAAGTCAAAAAGTCAGTCAGGTGGTGAGATCTCTGCGACAAGTTATTCTGCGGTGACGGATGACATTTCTGTGAGGTTGCATCTGGAGTACTCTGGCGCTGAGGCAAAGCTGGCCTTTCACTCTGACTGTCTAACTAGCATTCATCAGGAAACCTCACACACTCATGCAAACACACACATCACCCACACAGACATAAGACTTCTAAATGGCAGCTGAAACTCTCTTCAAGGTATTGGTTTGGTGGTTTTTACTACAGTCTTCACTGTCTGCAGAGTCTTTGCAAGTTTATTAATGAATGAATAGGAATGTTTGCTCTCCCTTTTTCTTCTTTCATTTCCTTCAAAAAGGAGATTGTCAAATACAAGAAAACACTAGCTTAAGTCCATAAGCTAGTTCCGCAGTTGATTCTGCTTCTTCTGTCTTTTCCTTCATTGTAACTACTTCAGTCCTTTCCTACTCTCTTCGTCCTTCCATTGTTGCTTCATTGCACAGCTGACCATGTGACCGCTCACTGTCAGTGTGTCCTCCCTATTCAAATGCAGGCTGACCTCCACTGCATGCTTCCTTCCCTTCATTCTGGGCTCAGAAGTACAGCAGCAGACATGCATGGAGGCCCAAAGGGTGGCAAAGGGATTTTCTTCCAGCGATTCATTTGAACTTTTCCTCTCTTTGAAATGGCATCACAGAGCTATTGGATGATTAATGTCGCCACACTTATATACGCTGTTCTACAGAGAGAGCCAGCTCAATATTTGAAAACCAGGAGCGGTTCAAAATGGCCGTGGGCAGGTCTGGGGTTATTGTGGTTTGATTGGCAATCAGCTCGCTATTCAACCTTTACAATTGTCCATGTAAGGTCATACACTCAGGTGATGGACACAGCCACTGCATTTTGACAACAGTTTACAGACTGAATGGCTAATTAATGGATATCAATACAGTGTTGTAAGAAGGGCCAATATGAATGTGTAATTAGGGGAAAAGTCTTCCACACAGACGAGGCAATAATTTATTTTGTATGTATGTATTTCATTGGTTCAATGATCATTTTTAACTTTGCTTGTATGTGGTAGAGAACGGATCTCTATTGTGTGCCTTTCTATAAAAAAATCAAAGGGGTCATCATCCAATCAGTTCTGCCACAAAGACACATGCATAGCTAAACCCAAATTTAAATGATTGTTTTGTTGACTGTGATTATTTTAATGAAAGAAACAGTCCTTTCCTTCAGGTGTGCTGCAGCCAAATGAAGCAAATGAATACGTACCCTATTCCTGGAGTGGGTTTGTTCTACAGTGCTTAGTTTTTGTGCAAACTGAAACTGAACTTTCTGAATGTTTTGTAGTAATATTGTATAACTTGTGATAACATACTATAACTAGCAAAACGGAGATAGAATAAGACATTATAAGTAAACAGAAATGAACAAGTTTTATTTAGAAAAAACTGTCTAAAAAGTGAAAGAAACAACACCAAAAATAACTTGGTATTTTCGTCATTGTTGAAAACGTATCCGAGTACAGAAAGTGGTATTGGGTAATAAATTAGATGTATGGACTACTTACAGTGCATGAAGTGCACAACCCATTTGTTACACAAAGTGACTACTGTTGCTTTGATCTCTGAGATCAACAACCGCAAAGCTGAATATTGTAATCTGCAACTTCTTGTGTCAAAGTATACTACATCGAGAAACTAAACCCTGAACTAAAGCCCCCACACGGCACTGTCCAACGCCTCAAAGAACTATAAGCTTGTAGGGGGCTTGATTATTTTTAGGGAGGATATGTGGAACAGCAGTTTATTATCAAGGGCTCCAAGAAGCAGTCCTATAGCATTTATTAAATAACCCAGTGTGTTATTTATTTTGTGACTGACCAAAGCAGCCTTGACTGTCCAATATTATCTTCTAGTGCTGTGTTTTCTTGTTAATCCCACGCTGAGACTCTGATGCTGCGTTTTGCATGTTTACCTCTGAGACTAAACAACAGGATCCATCCAGTGAGAGCAATGAGAACTTTTCTAATTATTGCGGCAATTATAATCATGCTTGTGTCACAGCAACGCCTCTCCGGGCTCTGTGGTCCCATTGCTCGCTGAACGGGCCCACGGTGGGAAAATGCTAATCAACTTCCGGCCTCATCAACTTATTGGTGACTGGGGTAAAGCAAAGGAGCCTCTCCACTCCTTTCAAGGGTGGATGTAATCAGAAGCAGCATCTATCCATATTTTCTACCCGGGGGAATGGGGAAAGTACAGAGCTTGTGCAAAAATGCTTGATGTAACTCCCCTGCATGGGAATACCATTTGGATTATAATTGGATATAAGAAGTGAAGCCCTATGTGTTTGATTGGCTTCATCAAATAGTATGCGTGTATGATTGTCAATCATTGTGATTTCCCCGGTATTTTCCCAGAATCTCTGTCTTTCTCTCTCTCTGTGAGTCCACTTATCCACATCCAGGGAATCCAGTTTGTCAAAGCCAACTCAAAATAGCAACCTATCAAACAAAAAAGTGGCCCGACATACAGCACAACCATACACATACATCAAACACAATGAAGTGCACTTCCTACCTCTTCCCATTGGTGGATGTAGCGAATTAGTCTGGAGAGTCGCAGGAGCCGCAGCAAGCTGAGGATCTTTGTGAATCGGACAATCCGCAAGGCGCGTGCCGTCTTGTAGAAATCAGAATCGATGCGCGTCTCCACGATGAGGAAGATATAGTCCACAGGAATGGAGGAGATGAAGTCCACCACAAACCAACTCCGCAAGTACTTGATTTTGATCTGTTGCGGATCTAGAATGATCTCTGTGTTGTCCTCCTTGACGATGCCCGTCCGGAAGTTGAGGACCAGGTCCATGAGGAAGAAGGTGTCGGAAACCACGTTGAACACGATCCAGGGTGGCGTGTGCTCGTCTTTGAAGAACGTGATGCCCACAGGGATGATGATGAGGTTGCCCACCATCAGCAGCAGCATGGTCAAGTCCCAGTAAAACCTTATGAGGGAGAGAAATTGGAAGAAGAGGAAATGCTGTGAGAACCAAGTACAATTCTCCAATCACTATTGGCAGCATCCTGTTTAGTAAGCGACTAGGTAATGCTAAACTTCTGTGCAAAAAGTAATTTGATAGGGACTGTATGATGTATGATACACTGTATGTGCATCCCTTTGAATCACACATTGTATACTGTATTGCAACACTTATTCCAAATGCTATTAACAAATAAAACACAAGATGCAACGGGAACGATACAAGTTACTTTGTCTAAAGCCTTCACTATATAAGTCTCTCATTGCTTTCCAACAAATTGAAAAAGGTAGGGATATTTATTTTTTGTATAACTCATACTCTTAAGATGCATTCACATGAAAAGTGGTGAAACTGCTCGGCGCTGTCTGTGCAATTGCTAACCTATGGAGAGATTGGCAACACCAAACAAGGTGGAAACGCTATTCTTGGCATGGCGTATTGCTCGAAATTGCTACAGATTGCTGCCCTCAAATAATTTCAAATTTGACCCTTACAGCGCAGCCAATAAGAAAACAGTTGTAAGTGCAAAGCCAGAAGAGACAACAAATTGGGCAGTAACTACAGAAACAAAACTGCCTAGCTGCCTTCAATAGGAGGCTCTGCGCTAACCGCTAACCTCACAACGAATGAAGATAACAAATCCTATCAAGTGAAGGCAGTAAACTAATGGCACAAGTCAAAGATACCAAAGACTAATTTGCAAGTGTTATTAGAGGGTAATGTCTTATTATTGTGATATTATATTTCCTGTATAGTATGGTTTTTTTTTTTTTACTGAAGACACTGACCTTTACGAAAAGTGTAATAAGTACATTAAGGATGGTTGAATTCCTGGCGTACTTGGTGTGGGGGAAACTTCTGAAGCAATTGGAAACAGGACTCAGAGAGGCACGAGGAGAGCTGGAGCTTTGATGGCAAACACTGACGGTTTATTTGGAGCTTCGGCCGGAGAATTGACAAGACAGGTGGTGTGTCACGAGTTGACACAGCGGTTGCCAAACCAATTCTGAATAACTCTTCTGCAGCTCGAGGTTTTAACTAGTTCGGAGTGTAATAATCAACATTCTTCATCAGCGAGACTAAACAATTATGGACCCTGAATCTAACTAGCGCTCTCGTCCATAGGAAATAATGTGCGCCAGGGAACCTTCGTCCCTGAACAGTGAACTACCTCATGGCGGCTTGTGCTCTGTCATAGACTGGCAACAACAATGCGCCCAAGCTGCTCCTCCTTAAGAGAGATAGCAACAATACCCAAGGCCGTAGAACTATGCCATGAGAAAGGAGACAATGAGAAGAGAAAACTATGAACTGTGTCGAAGGTTGAATACCTACAGTAAGCAAATTATTCCCTAACACTTGGATTATATACATGTTCAAATAATTATCCTGCAAGTTATTATCATGTATAATTTGATTACGATACGATAATAATTTCTCAGATCAAGTCTGAAACTGTTCTTGTATCACAGCAGCTCCATTTGCAACATCAACAAGGACAGAAGTAAAGGGAAGAAACAAGGAAACAGACATTTAACATATCATCACGATTAAAACATGTTTTAAATGCCATAACCACAAAACACCACCATGCTTTAACTGCTTTGCAATTTTACAGAAGTTTACAAATTGTTATAATAATAATAATCATTTACATACTGAAGATCTCTGCTTGAGCAACAAGGGATGAAACTCACTGTCACTCATCACGAGTTTGTTCTGACCTTAGATACCTTGTTGTGCATGTGTGTTGGGAGCGAGCGTATACACCGTAAACAATGTAATAACCTTTACATGATATGTTACCTCCCCAGCGTGTCAGACGGCAACTTGACATAATAAACTATTTGTGTTTTTACTGTAAATCCTAACTTAAAGGTCAAAGAGGGTTAACTGTTCATTACAAACTGTACTGTGAACGCGTCTGTCTTCCAGGCCGGAGAGTTTGGATATAAATTGTTCTCTCCGCTGGCTTGGTAATTTAATCCAGATTGGCTCTTTTGTGTTGAGGGCGATATATCCTGGTAGCTCTATAGATCGCACCATGAAGGGGGTTCTGCATGGAGGAGTGGGATGATTTATCCACCTGCCTCCGACCGGGCCAACAAGATCTGTCTCTGCGCAAAACCAATTTCAAGAGCAGGGCCATAAAAATGAAGGCAGAAAGGATACCATAAAACATAACCAGTGTAGGATATGCATTTTTACTGCAAGCTAGCAAGTCTATCGCAAGTAATTACTGCTCTTTCACGTCCTTGTTGCAGCTGATGTCTATTGATTTCATGCTTGATTGTTGAAGTAAGTAACTCGCGGCTTTACAATGAACAGCTGCACTGCGGGATGACACAGCCAGATCCAAAACGTCCTCTGGCCCATGTCGCGTCAAGTTAAGGAAAAATGTGGTTATCAGTACAGGTACGGTCTGCCTCGCAGAGCAAAAGCAAAACCTGTCTTCCAATTTGTTTCTCATGAGATCTTCTTGTTCTTTGAAGTGTGCTTTGCTGGATGTGTACGATTGATCATTTTATTGACGATAAGTTAGATATTAAAAGGCCTTATCTCTTTAAAGTCCTTTGAGACACGTTTGTGATAAAGCGGAACAACTTGAGGTGGTTTTATCCTTACACCTTGATACTACTAGTAATGCTTCTGAAATGATTATTTTCCTACACTGCTGTAATAAACGTTATAATTCAAATGGTGAATACTTGGTCACATACATCATTTATTCATGCATATCATTTAAAAAGATGTACAAATAAAGTTATAAATTATTATCATTTTTCTGCAATTATTGTTCTATGAGTATTGAGTCCCTACATTTTTATCATCAGAGCATTTCCTTGGAATTTAAACTACTGTAAGACTGGATTTTAAACTTTACTTAATTTAAAGGTCCCATGTCCTGCTTTTACGGTTATTACCCGTCCCCTTGTGTGTTATGAAGCTTTTTCATCATGTAAACGGTCTGCAGAGTCACAAACCCTCAAAGTACACCCTGTAGCGAGTAAAACTCTAATACAGAAAATACCTGTCTATGCTGCCCCAGAACGCCTCGTTGGAGATTCCTCATTTTCCATTGTTTGCTTCCTGGGGTCTGTGACGTGTGAACACCCGAATCAACAACAAATGACCGGATTGGCTTAAATGGACCAATCCGCGGAGCACCTCGCACACCAGGATCCCTTGGCTAACTAACAGGGAGTCCCCATTGACTTGCATAGAGCTCCCTGAACGCTGGTAATAGACGAGTTGGGATCGCGAAGAAATGCTCTCCGCAGACCCATTCTCACAGCGTTATAAACCTCTTTCTTACTCGATATCAAGCCACACTTATTGTTTTTACTTCGGTTGTGAGTGTTTGTGTGTGCTCAGGATGAGTTTCACTTGTTCTCGCTGTATCGCCGACCCGGAAACCTGTCCGCTCCTCGCAGCAGTTGCAGCGGCGAGCAGCAACGAGCAGCAACGAGCATCGCAACGTCCCGACCAATCAGAGCACACTGGGCTCACAGGGGGGGGGGCAGGAGCTCCAACAAGCCGTTTAGGACAGAGAGTGAATACACATATGCTGTATGAGAAACCAATGTGATTTTGGAAAATAGCACAATTTAAATGTATTCTAGTAGACCTCAACAATGGAAATATGATCAGTAGAAATGTCCATGACACGGGGCCTGTAAATGATGCAATCAGGGTTTTCCTATACTGTTCTGTTAACAGCTATCGTTTAATTGGTGCAGAATAACACTTTGATTTGTTTTCTCTTACAATGTTCTATTTTCTCTGAACAGCATTATTGATGGATTATGGAGGGGAAATAAAATACATCAATGATGGCCAGCACTGTATTCTTCATGTTTGTTTGTCACGGTTGCATTCAAATTCAAGGATCTCATTCCCACTAACACATTAATCTGTGGACCAATTCACTCTGAATAAATAATACCTGTGAAATACGTTTTGGCAGTAGCAGACGATTGAGTGGTAATGTGCTTGAGTTACAGTTTACAAGAGCATTTCACACTTACGCGTGTGTACATACACATAGTGTACACACAAACATCTCAGTTTCATGTCTATTGCACACACAGAGACACACACGCACACACACTGGAGATACGGTGACAGTAATTGGAATTCTTCAAAGTAAAAGGGTACTGTTCCAGCTTGTTGTCAAGTGGAGTTATTTTTAGACAGACCTTGCCACCACTGTGTTTGCTCATGTTAAGAGTGAAAGCCCAAGAGGATAAGAACAACTTCATAGGAAGAAATGCAAATATAGGTAATGACATTTGTTCTTCACATTGCCATGTTCTCTAATATTATAAATGCTAGATAGCCTTTGCCTGTGTTGTCATCCCCCCCAGCTACACAGCTTACTATTCGCTTGCAGCACTAGACAGGTAGCAGCGAGGAATTAAGAGTATTTGTTTCTTTCAGTAACTGCGTCGGTTTTGGTTTTGCCATTTTCCTTAACTGTGATGACCCAAACGTGAGTGAGACTTGTAATTGTTCTTGAATTGTGTTGTAACTTTAATCATGAGGCAACTGCATATTGCAAAGCATTACCACAACAAATAACAAATAAAGCCATTACAATGCTTCTTAAACATAAAATGGAATAAAAAAGTAGAGTTTTTACTCTAATATTCCTTATCAAAAAAGTATGTTTTATTTCATGGATGGCACGTGCACACATGTGCAGACACGTTACATTATCACAACGCGACTGTCTACAGCCACACTGGTTCTGAAGGGCTGCTATTAGTGCTTCAAGATAAATGCTAACATCAGCATCACATCAATTCCTACGGGGACAATACTAATATTTGCTAATTACTACTAAACATAAAGTGCAGCTGAATCTGATGGGGATGTCGTTAAAAGTCATTTGGAGAAATGGACTTTGTCCTTAGACCAACACTCCCCCATCAATCGAGCTACAACACTACCTGGCAAATAAA